CCCATCTGTTTCTTGTTTTCCCTTTTTTTTTTTTTTAATCAGACTTCTGTAGAATGAGTAAAGAATGATGGAGACTGAGACTTGCTTTGTGTACTCCTAACATCAGCAGAAGTCAAGTGAACCCTGCTGGGTTGGGGGGCAAAGTAGCAGACACCAATAAGTGAATTAGGTAATGCTAGCATTCACTGAGCTTCTGAACAGAGCAGTTAGAACCTTATCGAATGTGAAAATATAATCACATTTTAAAAATAGAAGTATAGTTGCTGCACAATATTATGTAAGTTACAAAGTGTATGATATTGTGATTAACAATTTTTAAAAGTTTATTTATAGTTATTATAAAGTATTGGCTATCTTCTCCATGTTGTACAATATTTCCTTGTAGCTTATTTTATGCCTGATTGTACCTCTTCCTTCCTTCCCTCTGTAGTCGATTTTTTTTTTTTTGCTTTGGGAACCATCCTTATCTTACTCTTGACAGATGATGAGTTGCATCATCTTACATAATTTTGGTCCTGGTACTTGGACTTTCTTGCCAGCAGTAAGTGCTCTTGTTGAGAGTTTTCAAATTCTCCTTTCTGTATTAACCCTTGATCTCCAGAATATGACTGATGGAGGACAGAAGCACTAAGCAACTGCAGGGGAATCTCCTGTCAGATTTGTGCTTGCTCATAATAGCAGTGGGTCACAGTGACTCCTTATCAGCAGAAAATTGTGCTCATCTAGAGTGTGATTGCCTAAATAAATATGTGGTGACTCAGGAGAAAATGATTGTTTTCTAAGAATTTTTTGACGGATGTTTATTTTTCCCAGTTTGTTGTTTACTTGCTAAGTCGTGTCTGACTCTTTGCAACCCCATGGACTGTAGCTCACCAGGTTCCTCTGTCCATGGGATTCTCCAAGCAAGAATACTGGAGTGGGTTGCCATTTGTTTCCCAAAGACCTTGGTAAATTGCTCCTGTGTCTCCCCTACCCATCTGTTTCTTGTTTTCCCTTTTTTTTTTTTTTTAATCAGACTTCTGTAGAATGAGTAAAGAATGATGGAGACTGAGACTTGCTTTGTGTACTCCTCACATCAGCAGAAGTCAAGTGAACCCTGCTGGGTTGGGGGGCAAAGTAGCAGACACCAATAAGTGAATTAGGTAATGCTAGCATTCACTCAGCTTCTGAACAGAGCAATTAGAACCTTATCGAATGTGAAAATATAATCACATTTTAAAAATAGAAGTATAGTTGCTGCACAATATTATGTAAGTTACAAAGTGTACGATATTGTGATTAACAATTTTTAAAAGTTTATTTATAGTTATTATAAAGTATTGGCTATCTTCTCCATGTTGTACAATATTTCCTTGTAGCTTATTTTATGCCTGATTGTACCTCTTCCTTCCTTCCCTCTGTAGTCGCTCTCTCCACTGGTAACCACTAGTTTTTTCTCTATATCTGTAATCACAGATTTTTTTATTTCCCCCAGATTTTTGCCGTCTTCAACTCTACAAACACATGCAAAACAAAGAGTTTGTAATTGTTTGGCTCATATTTTCTTTTGAGAGTTTAGGGAGTTATAAGGTAACCATGATTGATTTTTTTAGTTTTGAGAATAGAGTTTGATTTTTTAATTTGGATGTGTTTAGGTATGCTGAGATTTTCAAGCATTTCAGATAAAACGGAAATAGATTGATAAAACTGAGGTTTTATGTCAACCTGTTTTATTTCTGTCTGTCCACCTGTCCAACCCCAAGTTCCTTGCAAATAGCACATGTCCTATTTTGCTCCTAGGCTGTGGTCTACCTAGCTGTTGGCTTCTTTGGGGGAGATAAATTGGAAAAGTGATTGCTTTTACAGCCTAAATGAAAAGACCTATTTTGGAATGTGTGTGTGTGCATACGAGCTAAGTCACTTCAGGCATGTTCAACTCTTTGCGACCCTGTGCACTGTAACCTGCCAGGCTCTTCTTTCCATTCGATTCTCCAGGCAAGAATACTGGAGTGGGTTGCCATTTCCTCCTCCAGGGGATCTTCCCTACCCAGAGATCGAACCTCTATCTCTCTCTTACATCTCCTGCATTGGCAAACAGGTTCTTTACCACTAACGCTACCTGGGAAGCCTGTTTTGGACTCAAGGGGAAGAGAAAGCCAGGATTTGAGATGAAGATTGAGAAGATAATGCCTAAAATAGGGGGAAAGCTGCAGGGAAAATCCAAATGGATGCATCTTGCTTGTCTGTGATGCGTGGCACCTACTGTGATGATCATGTTTACCCATGGTCATCAGTACACTAGAGCTGAGTTTTTAAACAATTTTCTCTGGAGCCATATTGGATATAGCACCCTGTCTTTTCCGCTCATTTGTGAGTTAATTCCTAAAAATGCTCTGTGGCCAGTTGGAGAAAGGGTGAACTAGTTTTATGTTTGCGGGACCTGGAGTCTTATCCCCCAGATAGATGTTTTTTCTCTGTGTGTTTAGATGCTGTGGGAAGCAGAGAAACAGTCCCCAGTGCAAAAACTTAGTGAAGGGAGGTCTGTGTCAGGCCTGGTTAATCCCTTGTTAAGTTAGATAGACTTTAACCAGCCTCTGTAGAACAGTTCCTCATGTTGTGGGTACGTCCTTGGAGTGGCTTTTTCTATTTCTATTATTCTGTTTCTATTGCCTAGAAATAAGTGGCTATTCTAAAATGGTGACAAGTTTTGTTGGCTAAAGCCTGGGTCTCTCATAACCATCACTTACTTTGGAAGGCACTTACAGAACAGACCTAGCTTGCCCCCAGTCCTTTTTATTTTTTTAAACTTTTAGGGCCTGGCCTCTTATTTTCAGCTTCTCACTTCTAGGTCCCTGTGCAAAGGGAGTGGTAGTCTGCTGGGCCGTTCTCTGTTACTGGACTCTGGATAAATTTACCAGTCATCTAAACAGAGAATGCCAGGTAACACACAAGAAGTTGAGTCTGATCTGATCATGAAATGAGTTTATGGCAAACATCCTTTTGAAATCTAAGTGCAGAGTCACCTGCAAAGGCATTACAGTTCCCCTCTCTACCTTTTTGTCCTGTTCCTTTTAGAATAATCAAAGTTCAAATCATATGGAACTTTGTCAGTCAAAACCAGAAAAACAGGTAACTCAAACAGATTGCGGGCTTGGATGTGTGTGTCATAGATGCCCGAAAGAAATGCTCTGGATTCCTGCCCAGTGCACTAGGATGAGATCTGGAAGTCTGAGAGTTTTGAAGCCGAGTTGGGGGTCAGTTTAAAGGGGAGAGGAAGTACCACTCCTGGGCTGTGCTCCCTTGACCTCTGGGTAAAGAGCACGACCTTGAGAAGCGCTGATGAATTACAGAGTGTGTAAGGGAACCCTGCTCCCCTGGCGCTTGGCTGCTCAGAAAACCTTATTAGCTGAGTGACATGTTCTTTGTTGCTTACCTCTCCCGGCCTATGCCAGATGGTGTCTTAAAGAACTGGAGAGCCAGACCTCCTCCCCAAGCTTCCATTTTCTCTGTGGCTCTTTTTTCAGTCTTAGTACTACATACACGTGACTTTCTTCGGTAGATTTGCTTGGCAGGCAGTTCCAGGCACTGGCGTCCTTCCTGCCTGTGATGGGGAGCAGGGAGGATGAACTCCCCAGAAACCAAGGCTCTCCAGGTGGAGGTGGCAATCCCAGCCAGCCCAGCCAGGCGAGTTGGGAGTGGCTGTCGGCCCTTTTACAATAAAAGGTGGCGATTGTTTCAGGTAGGTGCCCTTTCTTCTCTTGCCCTCTGGCTGTCTTGTATAAGTGACAGGTGTTGGAGGCTTGGAATTGCTGCAGTTCTTTCCTTCCTGGACTTGGCAGATGAAATAGGACTGCGTTACTGGGGACTCGTGCATCAAAATGTTGCAGCTTAAAAGGTACTTTGAAGAGAGCTGAGTCCATTTGGAACAAGCCCCCGTTTTCTGAAAAAATTAGTTTCCTGCAAGGATGACTAGGTTTTTCTGTTTATTCTGTTAAAACACAAGTGGAGGGAGGAATCTATGGGAGAATATTTTCATCTCCACTGAATGATGCCTGACTCCCTTTTTTTCTGTTTTTAACATTTAGTAATGCCTGTCCTTGCCCTCACCTCCAAAAATTCCCAGTAGGGAAATAAATAGGTGAAAAACGACACTCCTCTCATCCATCCTTATCTTTCATCCCCTGGACTCTTTGCAACAACTATTTTTTAGCTGTTTGCTATTATTTCCTTCCAATAAATATTTAATGAACATGTAAATTAATCTGTGTCTATCTGTATTGCTTTTCAAATTGCATATCCAAACCCTTTCAGTAACATCTTGAAGAGGTGACATGATTTTACTTTTGGTAAACGGTACTTCTTTGCTTCAGTAAAAGATGTTACCTAGGTGTTTTAACTCTGAACCCTTCGAATGAGGAGACTTGTGGAGAGTTGTCATGAATTGATACACATACCCCAGCATTGGACCCGTCTGCCATATGAGAAGGAGCTTTCTGTATCCTGGTGATTGATTTGGGATGGCTTCTAAAGACTGCAAACCATCTTTATTAATTTCTTTGAAATATCCCTTTAATAGGGCTTGCCTGGTGGCTCAGACAGTAAAGAATCTGCCTGCAATGCAGGAGACCTGGGTTCGACCCATGGGTTGGGAAGATCCCTTGGAAAAGGGAATGGCTACCCACTCCAGTATTTTTGCCTGGAGAATCCCATGGACTGAGGAGCCTAGCAGACTACAGTCCAAGGGGTTGCAAAGAGTTAGACAGAACTGAGCGACTGACAGCTATCCGATTAAGACGATGGTACTGCGAGTCCCTTTGGGGTAACAGATTTACCTTTATGGTTGCTACTCAGTTCCTCTGTTTTGTCGTCTTGGGGTATGTTGGTTCACAGTTAAAAATAGAGCTCTAATTAAAATGGCACCCTCTCTGAAAATAAGAACTATATTTCAATTAGTAAATTCCTATTTGCTTAACGTATTTTTGTTTTCTTCTGTTTTTCTCTTTTTTTGAAAATTTCAACAGCAAGCCCGGGCTGAGCAGGAAGAAGAATTCATAAGTAACACTTTATTCAAGAAAATTCAAGCTTTGCAGAAGGAGAAAGAAACCCTTGCTGTAAATTACGAGAAGGAAGAAGAGTTCCTCACTAATGAGCTCTCCAGAAAATTGATGCAGGTAAATTACCTTTTCTTCCCCTCTTATCTTCCCTGCCTGTTTTCTTCTCTAGGGGGAAAAAAAAAACCTTCCCCTCCTGTTTGTTTTGTTTTCCTCTCCTTGAAGCTTACTAGTAAATTACAAAAGTAAGATTTGTTTAGGGCAAATATCATGCAGGTTATTTAGCATGAACTTGAGAACAAGTGGGACATGGAGTTTTCATTGTTTAGCACAACATTTCCAAAATAGTGAATAGGTATAAAATTATCCAAAGAGAACCATTATTGGTATTTTTTTCAGATGGCTGTAAAAGATAGAAATCTTTCCTTATATTTTTTATTCACTGGCATTACTAACAATTTTATGCATTAATTTGATCAAAATATGTATTCTAATGAGATTATAGCAAAAGGATATTTGAAGCCTAAAAAACCTTCCTAAATTCTTCTCTTACCTTCTAACATATCAAATGTTGGAAGAAGAGATCAGAAGCTTTAGTGTTAAGACCATGCAATGGTCCGTCTTTTTATTCTTATTTTCATACCTAATTACTGAATAAAGATACCACTATAATCTTGTACAAAATTTGATTTATATGGTAGCTGTTGGAATGTGAAGGATAGAGATTCTCAGTCAGTATTATCTAGCAGAGACTTATGGTGGAATTTCTGTGTTGAAATGTTTTCTTTATTCCTGTGCATTCTGATTTAGAGAAAAAAATGAGGTAGAAGATTAGTTTGACTTTTGACTCTATCACACCTTGGCAGCATTAGACTAATTATTCTGCATGTTGCTTCCAGAACTGTAAGGATATGATTATGGCTTTCTTTTCTGATTTTAGTGTGTAATCAGATGCCCTAATTTTTAACACTTTGAGAAACATTTTTTTTTGTTGTTTTCAACTTGCATAGTCATTGGTATTTGGAGTCTTTGATTAAAGTACATTATCAAGCAGTCAATATCCTAGCCAGATCATGCTTTTTTTTCTCTGGAAAGACTCATTTTCATTGTGGGTTGTTCTGTAATATGTAGTTTAAACTAGCCTCTCATTAGCTTATTATCCTGACCCACCTACTTTCCAAGGACATTGATGTCCCTTAAAGCAAGCTCGTGGATAGAATGAACGCCTAAGAGCCATGTACAACAGAAAAAGAGGTTAATTATAGTAATATACTTCACATAAGAAGGTTTGAACTTAAAATTTAAGCTCTGAACATCCTATAAATAAAGCTGTAACTTGGAGAAATGTAGTTTTTTTTTTTTTTTCCAGAATTATTTTTTCAGATTATTATTTTTTCCAGATTATTTTTTCAGAATTCTTACATTAAAAGAAATAGTTTTACTTGGTCAGGAGAAAAAGTTTCATATATTAAAAACTTAAATTTCTTGAGGGGCATGGATCTTTCTAAAGAGACTGGGTAATACATTAATACAAACTGGACAATGCAAGACAATGTTACCCAAAGTAGTTTGTAATGTGGAGCCTTGGTCTTCACATGACTGGGTCTTATGTTCACCCTCAGTCAAAACAAAGTGTTCAGTATGAGGATGTAAGTCTGTTGTTTGGGGAGTTCTAGGTGGGTCTGTAGCTCATTAGTGATCCCACTTGTAGAACCTGGGCAAATGGATGGTCAACACTCTGAGACATGAATCCTAGCTTGGTTCCTAGGTTTTATTTTCATGTATTATATATATACATATATATATATATATATATATATAACTCCAGGGGATCTTCCCCACCCAGGGATTGAACCCATGTCTCCTGCATTGCAGGCAGATTCTTTACCCACAGAGTCATCAGGGAAGCCCTATATATGGGAATTCCATATGTATATATAGTAATAAAATGCAGGAGCCTCTGGTTTGAGTTCTGGGTTGGGAAGATCCCCTGGAGAAGGGAATGGCTCCCTACTCCAGTATTCTTGGGCTTCCCTTGTGGCTCAGCTGGTAAAGAATCCGCCTGCAATGCAGGAGCCTCTGGTTTGAGTTCTGGGTTGGGAAGATCCCCTGGAGAAGGGAATGGCTCCCTACTCCAGTATTCTAGCCTGGAAAATTTCCACGGACTGTACAGTCCATGGGGTCGCAAAGAGTGGGACACGACTGAGCAGCTTTCACGAAAGTATATATGACATAGACATAAAATCTGCCATTGCAGCCATTTTTGAGTGTATCGTTCACTGGCCATAAGTACACTCACATTGTTGTACAACCATCCCCACCACCCATCCCCAAGAACTTTTTCAAACTGAAGCTGAATCCATAAGAAATAACCCCTTATTCCACGCTCCTGGTTCTTTCTAAGACTTTTGAANGAGTGTATCGTTCACTGGCCATAAGTACACTCACATTGTTGTACAACCATCCCCACCACCCATCCCCAAGAACTTTTTCAAACTGAAGCTGAATCCATAAGAAATAACCCCTTATTCCACGCTCCTGGTTCTTTCTAAGACTTTTGAAAAGACACGAATGGCAGGTAGTGTGAGGTTGAGGTCTCTGGCAAGTTCCAGAGCTGTGCCTACTGTGACATGATAGGTGATCCCTTGCTTTGGACACCAGGTGTCAGCTGCACGCCGCTTTGTGGTAAATCCCTGTATCTTTGGCCAGATGGAAGGCTCTTGTATAACCGCCGGAAAGAAGGGCTGTAGGCCCACTGTACCCACCCCCAGGCTTTCCTGAAGGGTTTCAGCCAGTCCTTTGTTGCAGTCTCACATTTTCTGCCACCCAGTGTGGTAGAACTAATCTCCCATCTGGAAGATTTTTAGAGTAATTGGTACCAATAGACTTTTCCAACTGTGTAATTACTTTAGTATGACTCTCTAGGATGCTTGCTTCTGGATAAGAACTTGTTATGATAGCCTACTAAGAGAAACCGTGCTGCCGGTGACACTGATGGACAGAGGAGTAAATTGACCTGTTCACCAGGGAAGTGTTTAACATTTTTCACCCAGAGGCCACTTAGAGGCTATTTATGGAGCAATTTTGGTTTTGTTGCTTGTGCTGTGGCTGTTGTCTTTGATAGTGAGTGTTGCTTTTATGTGCATTTCAAAGGAATTCTTTGGTCTTGAGAACAAAATGAGATTATTACTATAAAGGAGATACCTCCCTTCCCATCTGCTATGATACAGATGGTATCAAATACCTTTAAAAACTGAATCAAATGTATTTCAGTAGATGAATAGAAACCCCTTTGCCCTGTTAAAAGATCATGTTTGGAAGAGAGGTTGAACACCTCCAAGTATGTTAATCCTCTCTGAAGTAAACAAAGACACATGCACAAAACAGCATGTAGTTTTTCTCCTTTATTTTTGTATATATCTGCTAGATAGATACCTCGGTTTTGCAAAACCTCTTGTCTGAAAAATCTGATTCTTTCTGAGCCTGGACCATGGGATCAATGACTTGACTGGTAAGAACTGTCCTAAAAAGGAGCCTTATTATCTAATGCCAAGCCTACGCTAGAACTAAATTCAGCTCTGGAATGCCTTGAAGAGATGTTTGTTGCTTAATCATAATTTGTAATTAAAATGTGTAAGGAATGTTTTGTGATCAAATTCTTCATCAGAATTTGATTCCTAATATCTATGCTAGGAAAAAAAAAAGTCTAAAAGACTGTTCTCTGAAATGTTGGCTGTAATTATACTTGGGTGCTGAGCTTAGGGATGTTAATTTTCTTGTGCTCCTTTCCTTCTCAGTTTGTAGAAGCAACATGCATTACTTCTGCAATTAGAAAATATCTTACTTCCTAAGAAGGAAATTTTAAACATGCCTATTTTGTCCTTATGTTTTGAAACCTCCAGCTGTATCACTGAACTTGAGAGCTCACAGTCTTGCAGCTGCAGCCCAACTAGACTGGGGTCTGCTTACCTGATATGCAGCAAAGCTGGTCCACTTACGGGGCTGTGGTGAAAGAAGGTACAGTGTTCACTGCAGGGCGCCAAACAAGGAGAATGGGCAGCTTGTGCTCAAAAGACATGAGCTCCTCGATGGTTTTTCAGGAAGACATTGAGGGGAGAGAGACACAGGGTGCATGATCAGCTCATGCACAATTCTCTGATGGGTTGATGATGAGGAAATAGTGATGTTTCAGGAATCTCAGCTATCAGTTTTCTGGTTCCAACCAGGCTGGGGTTTATGTGTACTGGTGGTCAGCATGCAGCGAACTTCTTCCACCTAGTGGGTGTTTTAGTATCTGCACAACAACTCAAGGACACGGCTCAGGATATTATTTATAGCCCCGAGGAGGAAATAAAATAAAGGTCCTTGTTGTATGGCTTAACTATTATTATTTTGTCTTGCTTGACTATTTTCTCACTTCTCTAATTAAATCTGCTCTGAAACCAAAGAGCAAATTTAAAGCTTTCCTACAGACAAGAGGCAGGGGCCAAGGCGGGGGCAGGTGTAAGATGGAGATTTGTCCCTGGGATGGTCCTGCAGGGTCTTACTCAGTTTCACTATCATAATTGCTTCTGTTTATCATGTACTGCATAGACTGCAGTGCACTGGAGCGCCCCTTGCAAAGTCAGGCTCGTTGCAAAGTCAGGAAGATTCTGGACTACCCAGATTGTTCATTTAGAGCTAGCGTAAACAAAATGCTCTTATGATTGGCTTAACTGTCTTGTCAGCTGTGATACGATTCATTCCACTGGCTGCTCTTTAAAAACAAAAACAAAAAACCCTAATTCCTCTGGCTAACAGTTAAGCACCAGTCACCAGTACCAAATGGAAGACCTGTTGTTCCTGAGATGGATAGCGATTTTAGTCCCTGTGGATTTTCTCACTTGCTTTTATGTAAGCCCAAGGCATCAGGTTCACTTCCTGCTCTTGGGAAGCCCTGTTCAATTGTTGCCTACACTTTTCTCCACCAATACTGCCGCCAAAAGTTAATGAATATTTTTTGTTTCTTTATTTTAAAGCCTGGAACAGGACTGAGATAGGAATACCGAGTATTATATATCTCTCTGAATGTTTTCACTCTAATCCAGTTTTCAAATTTTAGACCTTAAAATAACAAATAA